TTAGGGTTCCGGGCGAGAGAAGCCTGCTGCAAAAGGGTTTAGGGTTTCCGGGTTCGGGGCTTCTGCAACTCCTTCCCTGCACTCCGGTTTGCGCTTTGAGGGCTTGGAAGGCGATGTGGTTCTGGGAGCGTTCAGAGCCTTCCGAGCCGGGCCGCTTTGGTCCGAGACCCCTCCTGAAATAAGAGGTCCGAGCTCTTGATGTTTGATTTCGTGGTGCTCGTATTTGACATTGTTCTAACACAAAGGATTCCTTGGACCTTGGATTGCTCTAGTACTGCAACTGCCGTAATGAGTCAGTCAACTGTAGCAAGGTCCCCAGGAGAATTCCAAGCAAGGCCGTGAATGTGAAGCCCGAAGTCTGCCGGGGAAGCCTTCAAGCCTGGCTCACAGCGCCCTTCTTGCGACTGCTATGGCCCATTTGCCATATGGGTAGATCTCTAAATCGCGGTCCCTTTTTGGATGCCCCATGTAGTACGGCACCCTTATGAAAGGACCCTAGTTTAGAGAACTACCCATATTTTGCCTGAACTACGACTGGCACCCATCTTTCTCCGATCAAGTGTAGGCCACATTCAACCTCAACACTCCGGAACCCTGCGCCCAACCGCCCCCTGCAAAACCCGAGCCCAAAGGTTGCATCCCAGAACCCTCCGCAAACACCGAGAAGCATCCAGCAACCATAACGGCCGAAAAGACTACTGGCCGAAAAGCCAATCCCGAAAGTGCTGCTCCCCTGAACCAAGTACTTACCAAATTCATCGGAACTTGGAATCAGAGGGTAAGTCCTTGTGGACGATAAGGCACCTTAGTATGGACCCTAAAGACTGGGATGCTTATCACATAGACCCCGGGATACTGGAGTTGAAGGCTCGCGGTTTCTGAGCGTTTCGTGAATACACTGTTGCTGTAGTATGCGCCAAACTTTCATTGAAATGATGACGGCCCTTATGTTTGTAAGCCCTAAAGCTTCCGGAATCTTCAAGCCGCGTACTACCATTCCAGGACCACGTGTACATCTACGTGGTGAGCGAGCCCTACTTCGGCGGCGACCTCACCACCTGCGCTCAGAAGGCAGGGGATCTTGGGCAAGGGTTTAGGGACAAACGGGTTTAGGTTTTGAGGCTTTGGGGGCTTGTAAGGAAGTTTCAGGGTTAGCGGCATGACGGCATGTGCACTCCAGCCCATCTTCCGAAAGTGGTGAGATGATGGTTCTTTAACTTGAACCTATCGTGCATGGGCTTCTGGAAGATTCAAGCATCACGGCCTTAGGTTTGCGAATGAAGTTGTTAAGGGTCTGGAATATTTGGGGCTCATGGGCTGGTGTTCAGTGGTGTCGACTTGCTGTGGTTGGAGGGTTGGCAGCTTCGGGTCTCAGATGTATGAGGTAGCTTCCCGACTTCCGGGTTGGAGGTTCTCTGGGCATTTAAGATGGTCGCGATGGCGTTGTACTGAAATCTAAATCGTTCTACTTTTGAGAAGTATTGGGTGGTGCTGATGTAAATTGTTACCGGAGCAGGGGTTTCGGAGCCTGAGTGCTATTGCCACAAAGGGTGAAAGGGAGGCATATGCACTCCTCATGTACAGTAATCACATTTTCAATGTTGCGTTGCGCTGAGGCCACCGAGCGCGGCGTTGCGCTCAACCAGTGCCCCCACAGCATCAAATCTTCTGGTGCATTCAGGGGATGAGGTTGTGTTTTCAGTGTCTGACAGAGAGAGTTGGAGCCACTTTGCCAAGCTTTCCAAGCCTGCAGCTCCTGAAGCTGTTGATAAACTTAGGCACCTAAATTCCTTCGTCGTGAATGTGCTGGAGCTTGTATATTGTCGCCAAAAAAACAGCTTTTCAATGCCAAGAGCCTGCACGCCTAAGCTGCTGGCCGAGGAGTTGGCTGGCCGGTATCCTGAAGCAGATTTGTGCAACCCGGCTGCAGGAGAGGAGGGGACTTGGAAGCGTCGAGGACTCGGTGTCAAGACCTGTGTGCCCGCTCTTCTCGAGCGCATTCGGCTTACCGTCATTTGTCGTTCTTTCTTGGCTTTGAGTCGGCTTCGTTCCTGAGGCCGGCATCATGTTCCTGCACAGCAAGAAGTCTATGCACTGCGACATCAAGGAGGCGAACGTCATGATTTCAGGGGACACGGACTGGCTGAATCCGAGCCACGGCTGTCGTCGCAGTCATCGTCTTTGCATCCGGCAGTGATTGCGGGTTTTGTGCACTGCTGTGGTGGTGCTACCTGATGGTGGCTCTGTTCCTCTTGCTGTTGCTGTCATCGCCGTCGTCGTCCTCGTCCTCGGAACCAAAACGGCCTTAACAGAGAATCCTGAAACCCAAATGCCGCGACCAAAAAGATCTGAACCACTCCCAAGGAACGTGGTGGTCATCGACTTCGGCCTGGCCAGGGACTTCCGGACACCGGGCTGAGATTGATTTCAAAGGGTTTTTGGGGTTAGGAGGCTTCTTGGTCTGTTTCGTTTGTTGAAGAATCTTAGATCAGGTGCCAGCGGGTAGCCTTAGACGCTTTCCGGGTTCGTAAACGGGTCCTTATGTAAGCCCGAAGGCTAACCCGTAATAAACCTGCGGTTTGCTGGACAGGTGAGCTGTGTGTGTTAGGGTCTTTGAGCTCATTTGCGTGGAGGGGGTTGAGCGCTTGAGCTGAGCGGGGTTCTGTCTGAGTCCAGCTTGAGGATTGAAATTTCGTGTGGTGCTCATTCCTGTCAAGACATGGTTGGCTACAGAATGCTTCTGTCCAGGGCGAGATGCAGCCCCTGACTTAGCTGCAACAATTCAGCCAGCCACAGCAGCATGGCAACCTTTGCCGACATCCTAAACGAAGACCAAAAGGACCTGGACCTGAGCCCCAAGCCCAACTCTGAATCCTAACCTCGACGCTGCTGAGGAAGGGCAGTTCCGGCGTGATGGGCACACCTGGATACATGCCACCCGAGGCCTAGCCAGTTGTTGAAAGCCACGATTCCTGACTAAGTGTTCACTTTGGAGCTCCAGGATAGATTCGTGATGATGAGTGTCTTCAGAATTAATGCTCTCCAGGGCTTGCGGGAGTATGTCCGGTTCATTTTCTCGTCCCAAAGGTTCTGGAAACTGAGCCCAGCAAATCCTAGAGCCTCGAAGCCCTGAAGCGCTAGACAAGACACCAACATGCATGCTACGAAGCCCCCAGCCCCCAAGCGCAAACCCCAAAGCTCCCAAGCCCCCAAATCCGACATACCAGCTTTTTCCTCCGAAGTTGACCTTCCTGCAAGATTGAGGAACACAGAGTGCTCCCAATAACTTACTTTTACGTGGCATATTTCACAGCTGCTTTAGATATAGTGACCCTGCAGCCGGAACACCTAACTGCATCAGGTCTGGTCAAAGGGGGTTTGGACCTGCAAAGGCGACATCTTCTCCATGGGCGGCTTGCTTTCTTAAGTGTCTGGAGTGTGAGAAAGCTTTGACGGTTGAGCTTCCGCCTCCACAGAACAAGAATCCAGCTCCATACTCATACCGCCAAACATCAGGGTTCAAATCAACTCCAGAGGCGTGTTCGGTGCAACAAGACATCTCCGGACAAGAACGAAGCAATTCGGTTCAAACGTCTGCGTTGAAGATATGCCTCAACGTGCTGGAGCCTTGCCGGTTCGTGGAATCCCAGTTCTAACATCCTCTGAGCCTGAGCTTCTGAACCCTAAATTGCCAAATCCCCTGAACCAAGGCCCTGAGTCCCGAAGAGCGCTCAAGCACTAATTCCGAAGACGCTTCGGCAAATATACTGATCACCCTCTTTTGTCCAGGTTCTAAATATACACTACATGTATTCTTATTCGGACTATTCTATCTTAGTCCGCAATTCACCGCCAATATCCTGATCGAAGCCTTAAAGCCTCACCTATCGCCTGGCACCTCAAGACCCTTTGGATGCAACGGCAGAGACAGAGAGAGAGGGGCTTGCTCCTCTTACCCCTACAGGCTATAGCCCTGGCGAAAGAAAGAGAGAAGTCTTAAAGCCCCTATATTTTGCACTAGCCTGGCGTTTGGTCCGCTTGCTCCTGCCCCTGCCCTCCACCTCGCTTCGAAGCTGCGATCCCAGGAGTGCTGTGGCAGCCTCAGACGTTGTCCGGCGTCTGCTTTGTAGAAGTTGGGGTTGGGGTTGCGCTGGGGTTTGGGGATGCGGGACTTGATGTGACGCTGTTGGTTTCTGGTTCGTGGTCTGAGGGCTTGCTTGTAGAGTTTTTCTGTTTTGGTAGGGATCGAGGGATTTTCGGGGGGTTTTCGAGAAGTCCGTGATTCGGCCCCAGCTTCGGCGCCAACCCCAAACCATGACCCTTGAGCTTCTGCTTTAGGGAATTTGGGAATTTATGGTTTAGTAGGGTTTAGGTCTCTCTTGCATCAGGGTTTCATTCCACGCTAAAGCCCTCTAACCCCACACGGCCCTACGGTCAGATCTCGGAGATCACCCTAAACCCTCAACCCTAAATCCTAAACCCTGTTTCTGGAAAGGTTGCTTACTTAGGTTTAGGGTAGGGTTAAGGGTTTGGGGTTTGGGGTTTAGGGTTGAGGGCTTAGGGTTTAGGGTTTCCCACAAGTCCTGATGCAAAAAGGGTTTAGGGTTTAGGATTTAGGGTTTAGGGTTTGTTTGTTTTGGTTTCTGGGTTTAACCACCAGCAAACACACGCGATGGTCAGCAACGGTGTTGGGCATCCATGTGGGAAGTGTAAATGGGGAAATAAATCAACGTCAGGGGCGCGAAGGGGTCTGTTATCTCACGTTTTCCGAGAGTGACAGCTCCGAGAAGAAACAGTTCTCCTTCTTCAGCCCTAGATCGCAAAGCCCCGAAGTTAAGCCACATGGGCTCAGGTTTTACAACATGTACTGCCTTCACCAGCTTCTTGGCGCGCAGAGGAACACAGGAATTGAGACGAAGTCGGGGTCTGTATTCTCCACGGTTGAGGCTTCCAGGTTCAGGGCCAGAGTTCAGGGCTTGAGAGGTGAAGGTATTTCGTTACAGTAGCGTGTTTTTGAGTGTGAGCTTCTTCTTGCCGTCCGTGCCTAGTGGAGTAGAATCCCCCCCCCAGGACTGCGCACCGACAAGTCGGGAAAGATATGGGGGGCTACACCCCCTTGATCCGCAACTGCAGCCTGAGGCGGCGTGCCTTTGAAGGGCAGACGGTGCAGCAGCTGCAGGCAGGCGCAGACCCCATTTTTAGCCCCTGAGGCCTGAGGGGCCACACCGTTCCTCAAAAAACCGGGGTCTAAAGTCCTGAGGACTTTAGGGGAGACCCCTAATCTCCATGGTAACCCCAATAACCTACAAGGGTCCTTTTTTTTTTCGGGTCCCTCCTAAAGCCCTTAGATAAAGGGCTTTAGGAGGAGCCATCCTTTCATGAAAACTTCGGCAAGGCCCAGGCCCCCAGCAGCTGCCCTGAGTCTGGGTTTGGGGTTTAGGGTAGGACGGCAGTTCCGGGCGAGAGAAGCCTGCTGCAAAAAAGGGTTTAGGGTAGCTGGGTTTAGGGTTTAGGGTAGCTGGGTTTAGGGTTTAAATTTTGGGTTTAGGGTAGCTGGGTTTAGGGTTTAGGGTTTAGGGTAGCTGGGTTTAGGGTTTAGGGTTTAGGGTAGCTGGGTTTCGGTGCTTTCCAGACCCAAGAGGTGACACGTCGAAACGAGAAATCAAAGTCAGTGCCCTAACCCCCGTAAGTCAGGAGCCTTTGTGAGTAGGTGATGAAGTTACCAAAGGTCTTGAATTTGTGGTTTCCGGCTTAAGGCATCCAGCTGATTTTGCCCTATCTCTCTGATATACACGGTCTGGTGTGCTGGAACAAGGAAAACATGTTAAGGCAAGTAGTATAAAGTCAGAGCAGCCGGATTTCGGAGCTTTGTTTTGTTTTGTGGGCGGTCGGGAAGTCGGGCCTCTCCGTAGCAAGTCAACAAGCGTCCTTAAGCCTAAACCCTAAACCCTAAACCCTCCCTAAACCTCTTTAGGGTTCACCAAGCAAAGCAAGCCCTGTGACTCTGAAAGGCCCAGACTTGCGGGTGCGGAGCTCGGGTGGGGGTTTGGGCGTCGAGTTTATTTCAAGGCCCAAGGTGACGAGGTGTGCGGCTTCTGCAATTCGGTCTCTGCTTCCTTGAGCGGTTCTGGGCTTGGGGGAATCTCCGGAAAAGTTGCATGCTGTGAGGCCAGGCATCTTCCATCCAGCATGCGACATGGTTACCATCTGTAGCTCGACAACTAGACATGCCTTACAAGTCCCAGAGAGTGCCAGGCAGGTTTCGTGCTGGTGGTTCCAACGTCCATATTTCATCCCTAAAGCCGTAAACCCTGGTTCCCGAGACCTTGAACCCTACACCCCTAGAATGCTTTCGAGTTAGTGCTTGACATGAGTCATCCCCCATGTAGCCTCTTCTGTAGTGCGGCTGGGACCGTGAGACCTCGTCAGGCCTTGTCCAAGTTGCGGGAGCGTAAAAGAACCCTGAGCTCTCTCCTTAGAAGTATCAGCCTGAAGCTGGCGGTGTTGAGGATGTTGGTCGACTGGCAGCCGTTGGAGAACTGCCTCTCTTTCCAGGTTAGGGGGGATTCTGCCATGTCGAAAACATGCTGCATGCAGGTCGCAGTCAGGTTTGTCCAGCGCTTGGCACGGCTTCGGATACCGGGCATATGTCCGAGGGGGGGTTGGGGGCCTGGTTTTGGTTGGACTCATAGCTTAGCAGCTTTGCAGAGGGAAGCTTGAACGACCCAGCCCGGGCCCATTGCATCTCGCGATCTCCCACAGCCTCCCTCTACGTAAGCATGTAAGCATGCCGTCCTGGGCCTTCAGAATTTGGTGCAGCACATGATGGCCGGGAACTTCCGAGCCACCCAGCCGCAGCTCTTTTTCGGGCCTGCCTTTCATGTTCGGACTCCCCTTCGGGTCTGGGCCGCAGAGTTTAGGGCTTTTGCCATCTTGGGACTCCATGTGGCGTATGTGAGTATGCTACAAGCTGCAAAGGCAGCAGAGGCCCAAACTTCAGACCTAGCTCACAAACCCCACGCGCACATCTACAGGGAGGTGTCCTTCTGCGAAGCGTTCTCAGTACCCGAGTCCCAGTCTACAATGGGGGTCTGAAGTAGTCGCGCCATTCCAACATTTTCTTTCCTCTTGAAATGCCCTCAGCACCACCATCTAAGTGTCCACGTGCCTCTACCAAAGGACCAGTAGACCTTGAACGCTCACGCTTTTCCTACAGGTCTTGGTCTACATCCTATCAGAAGTGACTTTGTAGCCTGCCAGGCTCCAGGATTTCGGATTTTTGGTGTACAACTTTGTGGTTCAGCGTGCCAGACACACCCTGGAGACACCCAATGACCGTAAGCGGCTGCACCTGGCACCACACCCCAGCTGGAATCCCACACCCTACCCCCGAAATTCAATTTCAAGGCTACCCCCAAATACACAAACACTTGAGTTCTGAACCTTGCTCCAACTTTGTGCACGTCGAATCAGCCCAGGACCGGCCGATGGTCAGCCAGGCTAGGTGGGCATTGGCTGTCGGGCCAAAACCCTCAAACCCCTAAAGCCCCAAGTTATAGGGGTTTGGGTTCAATATATATATATATACATACATACACACACACACACACACACACATATACATATATATATATATATATATATATAATCCTATAACCCTAAACCTCCCAACTTCGAGTTGAGGGCCAGGGGTGTGGTGGTTGATGAGTGCAGGGTTGTTCGGTCTTCTCAGGCTTAGCAACTGGTTAGGGCCCGGTGTAGGCCTTGCGAATTAAGTGAAGGCGTAGGGTTTCGAATGAGCTTTTTCAAGGGGGGGGGGACACGCGCTTACGGAGGTCCCAGGCTTCGGAAAAGGGTTGGAGTATTAACGCCTCAGGCCTAGTTCAACCCTAAGTCCTAAGTCCAGGAGTGATCAGAAACCCTTTCCAGCCTCCACCCACTTGGAATGTACCTCACATGCCCCAAGAACTAGTTGCTTTGTAGGGGCAGGGCCAGGAACCCAAGCTCCTGGCCAGGTGTTGCAACACAACTGGTGGCGGGAAGCCGGTAAGGAGCGAAGAAATCGCAGAGTCAAGCGGGCTCTCAGTTCACTTGTGGCTTTCTGGCTTGGTGTCCTGGGCTTATGGCTTAGACTTCGGCTTGCTTCTAGAGTCCAAAGCACCCCAGGCGACGTGGTGACATGGAGGTCCTCCGTCCGGTTTAGGGAAGTTTGGGAGCCCCCCGCCGCTAGGGTTTAGGGTTTAGGGTTTAGGGTTTAGGGTTTAGGGTTCACGGCCGGTGTGTAGGGCATCAGATCATTTCTGCAGTGGGGCTCAGTGGGGTGGCTGCTGTCAGAGTTGGCGTCGAAACCGTGTTGGCCCTCGGCTCGGGCAAAAAGCATTGACTTGCCGCTCAAGCCCCAGACCCTAAACCCTAAACCCTAAACCCTAAACCCTAAACCCTAAACCCCTAAACCCCTAACCCCCTAAACCCTAAACCCATGATAACCGGCAACCCCGCCCTCTCACCGGCTGAACTCGACCGGCGCCGTATCAAACCCAGCCAGGGCTTGTTTCAAGTGATGGGGCTCTTCCTATCATCTTGACCTCCGAAGGCTCCTACCGCAAGGGAGCCGGGGTTCGTGGAGAAACCCTTTCTGACATCCGCAGGATGCGAGCAGCCCGGTCTCCAAAGAGGTGCGAAGAGCGGGTTCGGAGCTCTTGTGAGGGTCAAATTGGGATGTGGAGCTCCCGCAGGGCTGGAACGGCAGGTCAGTCAGAAGTTCAGACTGCACTTTTCTCCTGATCTTGCCTCGGGGTCCTGAACAGTAGCGTCCTCAACCCAGGACATAAGCATTTTTTAGGGGGGAGACGAACCAAGCCCGTGCGAGAAATTGAGCCGAGAAGTTCCAGCTTGTGAATAGTTTCGCGGGTCCCTTCAGAAATTCGGCTCCGCCGGGAAACCTGAACGTTCGCCACAGGTCCCCCCAGCCTCGAAGCCCTCAGCTGAAGCCCAACACTCTGTGAATGTACTGTAGGGGCCTAAATGATTACCTATACTAAGACTATTTATTTGGGGGGTTCCTTATTACATTTATAGTATAACGGGCGCCAAAACCCTATTCTAATTATTGAGGCCCTACATTAGGAACAGCTGTATTTCGCTCAGCCTTGAAGACACTCATGGTGTTGCCAGGCGATCGCAGACCTTGGCCAGTTCAAGCCCATGCCGCCGTGTCTGCAGTTTGGGTCTTTGAGAGCGTCGTCTTCATCCTCATATGTGTGCCGTGGTGAGAGGGGGTCTTCGGCAAGAGTGGGGTTGACCGGGGGTCAAAGCTTGCTTGCTCAGTGTGTTTTTGGGAAAGATGGCCAAGCCATACTGAGCCTCAGTCTGTGTAGGTGTAGGGGCAGAAAAAACCCTTGTATTAGGCAATATATTATAACAGAACCATAATTAAGCAGGAGCCCCAAGAACTAGTATTGGTATTTAAAGTATCTATTTAGGCCCCTATCTTATTGTAGAGGGTTTAGCAGAGAATGGTTTCGGGCCCGAGCATGACAGGAGCGATCTTCACCGAGCCCTCATGATGGACATGGTTTCCAAAGAGAACCTGACACACTTGAAGGAGCTGCTTTTCCGGACATCATGTAAGGGCCTTAACACCGAGTACTATAGTTATAATAATGAGCCCCCAAGAGGGTATTGGTAATTATTTAGGGCCCTGCATTATTTATGCCTTCATGTGTTTCTTTCTCTTAGGTCTGATTCCAGAATCACCATCTTGGAAGTCTCATTCGGCACTGGTCGCTTCTTTGCTTGCTGGACGACGCAGCTGGCTCCGACCATTTGGCTTGTCGCTAACCACCAAACTCCAAGGGCCGTGTTCCAGAAGCTTTAGATTCAGAGAAACCTTTGCAAGACAGCACTCAGACTTCCTTCCGAGAGCCATCTTTACGTACCATACCATAGGACTTATCGCGTTTGTGTTGAATGCTGCGACCTCAGATGCACAGAGGGTTGAAGGGTTCAGATGAAGTACTTGAGCTGGGCCGCGACATCGTGGCTTGTCACCACTGGAGCTGTGTATGCTTGCCATGACCATTGTTTGAGTCGGAAAGCACGGTTCAGAGGAGTGAAGGCTTGCCCATCGGTCTCATCGTGACATCAGCGTTTACCTGCATCGCCCTAAACCCGAAGCGCCCGACCTTAATTCACCAGGTAGTCGGAATGCATGCATGCAGCAATCAGTGATACCACAGCAAACAGCATTGCAACAGTAAGCTTTGAGCTCCAGAGCCTGCGAGCCACGACTTCGAGTTTTGTTCCCTTCAGGGTCGGTGCGCTTGCCGAACTGCTTGCAGACGACTATGACTAAGCCAGACTCGGCTTCGCACGTGTCGCACGTACATGCGGGCCCTGCCAGCGCGACCTGCTGCGGTCCCGGACCACCACTGGCGCAGCCGGTGTCAAGACCACCCCAGCCCGAGGAGCCGCTTCTGTACTTCCTGCGTGATCCGTCTCGCCTGATCTGCCTCCGACTCGTGAGTTCGTCGGAGCTGGGCCGGGTGGCCTACAACGTGCTGGATCAGATGCTGCCGATAGTAGTTTGTGAGTTGAAAGCAGGGGCAACTTGGGATCCTCGACTCGTAGCTCTAGCGCACCTGCAGGTCCACGGCGTGCACCTGGATGTGCTCCAGACTGAAGATGGTTCTTCAGTCTGGAGCACATCCAGGCGCACGCCGTGGACCCACAGGTGCGCTCGAGCTCCGTTGCCATGGCACCACGGCAGCCAGCACTTTTCGGACTTCTTCCCCTCCTATGATGAAGAAGCCCAGTCTCTCTGTTCCTTCCTGCCTGCCTTCCTTCTTTCCTTCCTTCCAGTGGGTGCAGCCGTGCCGAGGGGATATCGTGCGGGTTGACACCTACCAGGACGACTGCCCCATTCTGGTGCGGCTCCACTCTAAGCGCATCTGGCAATCAGAGACCGGCTCCGCAGCCTCTTGGTTTAAGAGCTTCGACGGCATAGTGCTGAGTGCTGTGGGCATCGGGTCGAACAAAGAGACAAGAGACAGGGCGGTGCACCTCTCCCTGGCGACAGCGCTGACCCTGGAGCTTCCCTGCCGACAGGTAATGCACGATTTTCCGGTGCTAGGTGCCCTGCATGCTGAAGGAGGCCCGACAGATCAAAGAGCGCACTGATGAAGAGCTGCCTCCGCCGCCTCCGCTGCCTCCGACTTCCACGAACGAGGAGTGTTATGATTTCGCCAGGCAGTTCATGGTCTTCCACGAGAACCCGAATCTCTGGTTTAGCGTGGGCCGCATCGGTGGCGAGAACGTGTGAGCCAGGCACGAATACAGGCACGACAGCCTTAACTTGCTGCTATATAACACAAAAGCCTCTGAGACTGCACCCTGTTACCTTGGTAAGCATTGTCCTGGATCTGGCCTGGCCGCCTGTAGTCCACGAGCGAAGCCTGCAGGGAAAGCTTGGCGAGCTCCTCTCGTCTGAGTGGTTGGCTCCGGCACTGCAGGGTTGTCGCTTTCTAGCCCAGTTCACCCGAAATGTGGAAGACGCGGATCATCTTCGAATAACAGGGAATCAGGTTCGGTCATTCGCCGCAATCGGCAATCCTGGCTTGACATTCAATTCATGATTAGATGTCTACCGCATGGAGTCCACATGAGTGGGACGGCAGTATCCTTGGATGTGGCAATGCGATGACTGGGCCCTCTGCCTCGTGGACCACTGAGCTGAGGCGTAGGATCTGATGGCGCCACGCTACACGTATTGATGGAGACCTGGGAGAGCCTCCTAGCTGACTGCCATTCGTTTTCAGTGAGCTGCGTTGGCTGATAGTGGCTTTGTAGTGTTTAATGTCGCTAATGTTTGAGTCCGGCTGCGAGAAGGATGGTAGGGAGGCTCTGATGCTAACGTTCCGTCGAGTGCGAGTGCTGAAAACCTGGGAACTTGCAGGAGTGGTAGTCCAGTCGCTTCTTGCGTTAAGTTAGGATTTGGTAGAGTCTTGCTTGAGATCTACTGGGCTGCGGCTTTTGAGCCTGCCTGAGCCTGTTGGAGTTTTGGGGCTCGTCATTCGAGTGCTTATTTTGGGGTTGAGTGTCTACAGGTCTAAGGACAAAGGATTCCCGAGTGTTGGGTTCAGGGAGTTCAGATAGTGTAGCCACCCCCTCCCATCGAACACCCAAACACAGATTCGACTTCGCGCCCTAGTACCGGTATTATGCACTTGCAACAGCCCCTGAAAGTAGGGATTTCGCCCACAACTTCTACCCTACACCGTCCGGAAGCCTACCCTTACCTTTGACCGAGACGTCGGAAATGTTCGGGGCGAAAGAAACCTTAAACTACCGGACACCTCGAACATTGGCCTAAAGTCTGCCACCTCTGGAGCATGAAAAGCTATGTAGTTCTTCCTGAACACTTACGATACTTATCAAATGTGAGTGTGAGAAACCGTAGGATGCCACTGCCTGAAGCCGTTTCTGACCTTGCAGGTCCTTGCAACTTTCTCAAACTCCGAACCCGAATGCTCCGATGTAAAACGTGAGAGACCTGCATGTCCAGCGAACTCCAGGAGCTCAACTCACTTTTCGAACCCTGCCTGCAGTATCTCGGGGTTTGGGTTACGGGTTGATGCAGGGGTTTGGGACTATGGTCTGATGGTTTCAGGTTCGGGCTTGGGTCTTGCCGTGCAGCACCTGGCGACAGTCAAAGCTTGGCAAACTTCAAGGCACTGAGGCCTCAAAGCCCACACCCCATATCTACGCCTTGACTCCCAACCCGTGGACGGCTTGAGCCCTATGCACGAAAGCTTGTTGGCGCACTTGCCGGGGTTGAGGTATTGTATTGCAGAGACCGTTGCAATCTTTGCAGCATGCACTGCGGCTGGATTCACCGTTGATCCATCGGGGGTACACCCCGCGACCCCCGTTGAACCCCACACCTCCAGCCGGACAGCCTCAGATCCACGTTGTTTAGGAGCCCATCTGTCGATTTTTGGAGTTTGTGCTTGGAGGTCTCTTCCCCGAGGTGGATGCAAGGTGTTCTCTTGGAGTTTCGGGCCTGGGGGGGAGATGGAGGGGCTTTTTCAGGGCTTGGCCATGAACCCTGCAGTCCCTTGCGCCATCCGCTCCGAAGGCACAGCTGGACGCCGACCACAGCGGGGTGGTCACGGAGCCTGAAGCCCGAAAGGACAGCGAGTCGGGGGCTGTTGGTCCTGGTCTTCATGGGGGTTTCCGAAAATAGGGGACCCTAATATTGTACCCTAAATAATAGGATCCTTATTATAAGGACCCCGAAATAAGGTACCCCTAATTTTCGGAAACTCCTTCATGGGGGTTGATGAAAGCGGCTTTGTGCAGGTATGGAGCTGGTGTGTAAGTATGTGTGTATATATATATGTATGTATGTATGTATGTACGTATGTATGTATGTATGTATACATGTATGTACCTATGTTCACCAGTGTTTGGTTCGCAGGCTATTATAGGGGTTTACTGTCCTGTTTGTGCGGATTTATGCCACAGTGCGTGGGAGAAGGTCCTGCGAGATCTTTGAACAACCTTGAGCTGTGCGTGAATCGGGGGAATGTCGGGTCAAGGGAACCGTCTTCAGGTTTGGTGGCTTCTCAGTTCTTTTTTTGAGCTCAGGGGTTGCGGATTCGACGACAGGGTGGCCCCAACCGCGCTGATACTCAGATGTAGGCCTCCATCGGGCAGTGGTGGGTAAAGGCATCCACCTGCTACGGGCGGCTGGATCATCAATCGAAATATAGCGCGTGTTCTTGCCAAAGTGTGGCATTCTGCCGGTGGGTTGGCACCTGATCGCTTCAAACCCGAAGCCCCAAACTTTGCCCCACGCCCCGCGCGCTGGGCTTTTTTGGGGTTTGCAGGCTTTGTCCGGCAAGATGGACCCGGAACACTCGGCTGCACACAGTTGGGCCGGGGTTTGTGAACTGTGACTCTTGTACCTGGCCCCGGCTCGAAATGGCGAATCACTGGATGGCAGAGTCCTACTGGTAGTCCATATCTAGTAGACAAAAGCTAACATGGAGCTCGGCACCGGCCAGGGCTTTTCATAAACTTATCCACCGTGCGGACCGCACAGCGAGACCGAACCCGTCGGGACATCAAAGGCCACAAGTATGTGGAGGGTCTCGCTTTATTGTTCATTCAGGTCCGTATACTTTTGGCTTGCAGGCACTAGCATCATGGCTCAAAGCTCAAACTTTGGACCTCGCGACTTCCATGATTCCCGGTCTCAGGCCACAGCGCATCTAGAGTGCTTCGGGCTAGGCTTGATTTACGTGGACGGCCCCAACAGGCTAAGCGGTGGCCGTGGTGTCGTTGATAAGCCAACCCCCAACCCTAACGTCGTAAGCCTTAAGCCCAGCACTAAAACTAGACATGCAGCACAGAGGACAAGAGCTAAGACCAGGGAACTCGAGGAGTCAATGGCTGCATTGCTTTGCGAACCAAGGCTCAGATCGACCTGCTGGTGAAAACGTTGTTGGGCTCCTCGGCTTAGTGTTTCTCAGATCCTGGTGGTTTTGAGGTCTGCATAGAGCTCAGCTTTCTGTTAGGTTTTGGGGTCCCAGAATGGAAGCGACAGGGTCGATGCAAGATAGTATCCTCAAAGCGTAGCAAGCTCCTCCGATTTCCCTTTGAAGAAGCCGCACCCTGGCACCTTCGACACGAAAAGTCACCAAGGCCAACTCATGAAGGACCTCAGAAGCTCGAGAGGGCGCATGAGGAGCAAAATTACCCTGACGCCTTCGGCCACGACCCCCAAACTCTGAACATTCTGAACCCCTGCACCCTGCAGCTCTTAAGCCCTAAACCCAAAACCCTAAACCCCTAAACCGTCTTCAGCCACACTCCCAGGCTCCAGTGGCACCCTGACGTACAGCCGGTTCATGGCAGAGATGATCTCGGCGAAGAAGGCAGGAGACTGGACTCGACGGTGGGCTTTTCAGCCCCGAACCCTATTCCCCCTCTTCAGCCGCGACCATCAGGACTAAGTCTCTGTGTTAAAGACGGAAGACCCGAGCCCGAAACCCAAACCCCTCAAACTTGAACACTACAGCATGCACGTAGTCCCTAAGGGGACCGGATGTAGGGCTTCCTGGCATGCGCCTCCAAGCACGTGCACGGGGTGGAGCTTCCGGGCTGTTCTTTTTTCAAGGTCGAGGAGTGTCTGAACTCATGCGACAGCTTCTACGAAGAAGGCAGAGAAGCATGAAGCAACGCGTCCGAAGAGTGGCAAAATATCTCACAACGAGCCCAGGAAGAAGGATACCGTTCGGCCCTCACATGTTGGGAATCAGCTTCCTGAAGGGCCTGGGCTGTTTGGTTGCGCACAGGCTGCGAGGTTGAGGCCCTGCACCTTCAACCCAACAGAAAGGCAAACCATGAACGCTACTTGTAGACTTAACGCTGAAAATCCCATGATAGCAAGCACACATGATAAGAAGGGCAGCCCTCCTTCCCAGAGAGTAGCTATTGAGCCCCGTGCGCTGCTCCCCTTTGCTTAGCGGCCTTTGGGTTGCTGGGCTTTTTTTCTTTCGGGTTTCGGCTCGGGGCTTCCCTACACTTGAGATCTTCGTCGGGTCTGGGACGTAGTTCTCCTTGAGGCTGGAAGTCGAACTGTTCGTTGTCGATCTCTGTCCGTGTGCACCGGCAGGCTGAGAATGACGAAGTTCTGTGGCTTGGCTTGCGAGCCTGAGAACCTCCGAGGTCCGAGGAAGTTGGTGTACTTACTTTCATCAACATCGGCAGCCTTATCACCGGTATCATTCTTGTAACCCTCTTGCTCATCATTCTCGTCCTCATGGTCAGTCTGTCGTCGTGTTCTTTGTTTTCATGGCCTTCATGACCATCTCCGTCTTCATATTTATCATCATCGAGATTGTCATGATTGCCATCATCACCATCACCATTGTCGGGACCATCCCACTAGCTTAGCAAACCGAGCTCATTGAAGTTCTGAGAAGACTCCGCTCTGCGATTTGCCCAAGAAAGGCTTATCAAGATCGCTAGTTTCGTTTGCCCCGGGCAGCAGCAAGAGACGACGATGTAAACGACGACATTTGGGGCGTTTAGAGCAATGCAAGATGGACCGATGTGCACCGTCGTTGGACATGCCAACGCCGCCAGAACCCAGGTGGCGAATTTTTAAAGAGCTGGATGCAGACAACAGCAACAGTCTGGACGCCAACGAGATCAAGGCTGGAGCAGATCGAAGCTTCAGCTTAAAAGGGGCATTCACGGCTTAGAGCTAGGTCCTAGGTTCTGAACCCGAAGCCCCGCACTCATCCTTGTTTCCGGGTATTTTGAACTTGCGAAGGGGCGGAAACTCGTTGGAGCAATATCCACACCGCCGGGAACTGTCCAAGAGTGAGAGTTCAAAGGCCAACAGCTTGTGCAGGGATGTAGGTTCCCGAGGAGGGCTTGTGGACCAGCTCGCTGGAGCCCGTGTGTCATGTCAACCTACAAGCTTGTGGGATTCCCTGCTTCAACAGCACTGTATCTCAGGCTGTTTGAAGGGTTGGAGGAGCATTTCACAGTATCCATGGCTTCCAGTGTTCAGACTATCTCAAGCCGAGCCTGCAGAAGTTGCATAGACTCAGATTGCCGGATTTTTTTGAGGGTTTCGACGAGGCCATGATGAACAAGCCAAAGGTCAGGGAGATCATGGCAGACAGCCACCCAGATGCAGACATCTTCGGCACTTGAAGTAGCGGCAGTAGTGTCTTAAATGCTCCAACCAGGTTGTGGGAAAGAGCATCGGGACACGGATCAAAATCGGTGGTAAGCCGGGGTCCTTTTTAATCTGGCACAAAGTTCAACAACTACGTGCTCCAAGATGCTTTCCCAATTTTGGAGTTCCCCTCCGCTGAACCGAACCCTAAGCCCCGAACCCCAAGCTTGAAAGGCTCAGGGTGCGGAACCTAGGGCTGTCGGATGTCAGGGATAGAGGCCATGGGGGATGGTTCAGGTTAGGACTGAGGGTTTGGGGTTTTAAAGTTCAGGGTGCAGGATTCAGGGACAGGGCTGTGGATTCAGGCTTGCCACTTTTGGCTTTTGGGTTTGGGGGGTTTTGGCTCAAGGCCTTTGCTTTCTGGGTCGGGGATATGGGTATGGCTTTCAGGGTCTGTACTCGCAGGGCCTGAGCCTAAACTACACTCTAAATAAGTTAGAATCCCGAACCCCAAATCAAATCCAACAAGAGAAACTGCACCTTGAAGCCGGCATCCTAAATCCTGACCCCGAAACTAAACCTTAAGCTAAACTCAAAGAGCCTGAACCCTGAACCATAAACTCCAAGTCCTGAACTTCTGGAAGGAACTGTTGCCGACATTATGGACCGGATGGACTTGAGCCGGACGGGACGAGTGCCTCGGACCAGGGTGTCGACGAATTGACGGCAGTTGAGAAGTGGGACTTTCCGAAAATAGGGGGTACCTTATTTTGGGGTCCTTATAGTAAGGATCATATTATTTAGGGTGCTATATCAGGGTCCCCTATCTTCGGAAACCCCCAGGTTCAGAGGTTAGAGCTTAGGGCTGCGAGGTTCTGGAGTTTAGGGCTTGCAAGAGTCCTGGATGCAAAAAGGGCTTGTGAAAATCCGGGCCTGAATCCCACACCCTGAATTGAAAGTCGTCATCAAGCCCTAGAAGCTCGAACCCTGAAACGCCAACAGGTCAGCTCGGTTCGGGGCCTTGAGGTTGGCTTACCGGGAGTCTGAAGTGTAAGCTGCGAGGATAGTCTGAGCAGAGGCTGGGGTTTAGGGCTCCAGGTTTAGCTTAGATGGACAGCCCAGTCCGGACTTATAGGCGCAGTCCAGCGCGAAATAGCTGAAAGTTTCCATAGATTGGGCGCCACTGGGGTGAGGGAGGGAGGCCTCGTGTTCGAGTTAGGTCGCAGAAAAGCAGGCCGTGTGCCTCCTTTCCATGAAAATTCCATGCTAGGAGTACGAGTACGCACAGCAGAGTACACTTCTTTCCAGGTGAACCAGTTGAACCCAGGAGGCCATTTGCTGTGCAGTTCTTGCATTGCACACCCAAAGCTTCGGATTTCCTTCGTTCAAACCTGAGCATGGCTGTTTTGGTTCTGCCCGTCGCCACATCTGCTTGGCGGTCGCCCGGAAGTCAAGAGGCTTCAGGCTTCAATGTCAAGTTTTCAAAGTAAACCCTAAACCCCTAAACCCTAAATCCTAAACCTCCCATCATACGCCTCGCCTGGATTGTCCGAGTGTGAGCGCCGAAATCCTAAACCTCATGGACTTGGTAGAGTGGGAAAAAGCTCACTATGGGTTTCAGCCCACGAAGCCTCAAGGCGCCAAGGCAGGGTCCCGAAACCAGGTTGTTGAATTGCAAGTGCTCCAGGTAACATTCTGGGACTTCAAGCGAGCGCTGGAGATGATGGCTCCTCTGTGATATTTGTTGTACTTCTTGGAAGCCTTAAACACCAATTCGGACGAAACTCTCGCACAAGCCTTGCAACCCTTTGACTATCCTTCAGCGTGAAAAGGCAACAAGCTTCCGGCATCGGGGGTGTAGGGTACCGGTTCGGTGCTTCAGGGTCTCAGGGCTTAGTGAAGAAGCGCCCAGGGCTTCAGGCCACACCCCAAACTTTGAGATGCACGCGCCGAAGTTGCCCGAAAGAGGGCAACAATGACCTTAACCTCAAATCCGACACCCTAAGCCCTAAACCACCCTAAACCCTAAACTCTAAACCGTGTTCTGCAAGAATTTGAGGACATGACCCGGAGCCGGGCTGCATCTTCTGGGGCTCGTACGCCGCTGTATGCCGAGGGGGACAAGGCTGGGTGCCTTTCTTTCAGTCTTTTTGTAGTTTTGGGTGGTTCGGGGTTTCAAGTTATGGGGGTATGGGCCTAGGACGTTCGTGCGTTTGGGATGTCGGCCTGGAGGCTACGGCATGGAAGCTTGTGGCTTTCCGCTCGCGACAGGCATCCTGCCGTTGTGGAATGCGAACCCGAAGCCCAAAACCGAAGCTTACAATCCTTGTAACTAGGCTTTGAGTGAACCTGAACTTGAAATCCCACGACCTAGGTCCAGTACTTCTCCGCCACATACGCCCAGTGGATGGACACGATGATTACGGCCGTGGACCTCAAGGGTTTGGGGTTTAGAGTTCAGGGTTTTGGGGAGGCCAAGTCTGCAGAACCCCTCAAAGGCCCTCCGGCCACTAGCCCTCAGCCCTTATCCTTGCTAAAGCGCCTTAAAAATCCTATGCACCTTGGATTTTCTGGTACGGAAGGATCCGGGAAGTGGTGCCCTACAGCTTCAGTGTAAACCTGGCCTCCTGGCGTTGTTTTTATGTGCTGCTTTGTGTTTTTGTTTTTTTTGTTTGGTGGGTACTCGGGGCTTAGGGTTGCGAGGTGTAGGGGCTTCGGGTTCGGGTGGAAGAGGGGGGGTCAGGGATTGCTGTGAGTCCTGAATTTGGATTGAGGGCTTTACAGCTTAGTCTTAGTTTTGGGGGGCTTTGGGCAGTTTCCGGCTTGACAGATGTAGGAAATCCCTAAACGCCAAACCCTAATTGAGGCTTCAACGGAACAAGGCAGGCAGCTGAAGGGTTTCGGGCTTTCGGCTAGTTCAAGGTGGAGGGCGTCGTTGGTTCGGAGTTGTTCGGTGTGACCTGGAGCAGAGTATGTGCTTGGGGGCATCCTGTGGGCTCGGTCCTGGGACCTGTTGGTATGCTGTTGGTTGAGGGAGTTCATGGTGAAATGAGTCTGGGCATCTCGAAGCACAAGCCCGCGGCTTCTCTCAGGCTACTGGCTGCCGCAATCCGAGCTGCAGAAGGTCAGAAAATTGCCTAATTAGCTCGTCAACGTTTTAAGGCGCCCGACGCTGGATGTTGCCTGCGCCGAGTCATGTACGTTTAAACAAAAAGGGCAGCTGTGATGGACCCAAGCTCGTCACACTATCCCATCCCTTCCATCGGCTCTATATGATTAGACCATTAAGTAAATGCCGACATCCCGTAGTAGGGTAGTAGGCCCCCTGACCATCATGCCTGTATGTGCCTCCAAACCCTATTCCGATGAAGCCAGTTGACCATCATAAAACCCCCAAGCCTGTTTCAACTGTTGCAATGGGGAGCGAGTTCTTTAAGTATTCAAGAACCTATGTTGGCTACACGAAAAATCTGCCCGCGGAGGTCGATCCTCGACACCCGGTCTCAAGTTCAAGAACTAGAAAACATGTTATCATTGGGAGTTTCAGGAGTTAGAGGATCTTATGGCAGGAAAAAGGGTCTATTGTAGCAAGCACGAATCACATAATTCGACAAGCCCTCAACAGCAAGGCTTCCAAAGCTTAAACACAACAACACCATGAGTCAGGGTGATGCCTGGTGCGAGTTGAGATAGTCGACACACCATAAGTATCAAATCCTGCGAGACCCCCAGCCCCTATAAGCCTTTGGGGAACAGGGTTTGACTGGATCGCGAGCATTCCGATCAAAATCTTAATCGTCCCCTTGACTCTTTAGTGCAGCTGTTCCAAAGACAACCCAGCAAGACTGGTACTCGAAGCCAGACGCCCTCAATGTACCTATGTCTGCACCTGCTTCTGCGTCGTCCGGAAACTTCATGCACCCTGTAACCCGATTCCCTACACTCCCATTATAACTGTCCCAAACGAAAATTGTCGGGTGCCCAGGTCAAGAAAATATCGGTGTTCAACACCCAGGCGTTGCCAACAGCTCACAGCAGAAGCGGGTTTCCGGGGATGTGAGCGACAGTTCTGCTTCGGGGCGGTTCTGGGCCTCACTAACCCAGGGCGAGAAAGCTTAAACCTCAAAACTTTGGCCTTTAAGGCGAGTGAGATTTTGTCCGTGGCATAATGCAGGAACAGCAACTTTCTCGCGCCTGCCCCTTCCTTTCTGGACCTCAATTTCAGTGCCCTTGCAATGAAACTGAACTACTCAACTATGCGCCCTGACATGGTTTTGCCCAGCCCCAAACACCGCTTTGTCTAGATGCAAACTGCAAATCTCGGCCTTCGGCAAGCGAGTCCAAAGCCCTGCGCATTGCGAGAACGCAATCGCACATGCGCAGTGTTCATAATCTTAAGCCGCTGCAGCTTTCGGGGCACGTCGGCTTACGGATACTTCCAGGAAAGCTATCGGACTCGAGTCCTTCTCTCTATTTATCCCTGGCGCATTCCTGCATCACGATGTGCAACGATGGGAGTGGTGTCCCTCGAGCAGCCAAAGTCGCTAGTCGTGAAAACAACAACCACCAGCCTCTTCCCTTGACGCCATTGGCTTCCTGCACTTCTTGTAAGTCTTCAACTCGCAACCCCAAATCCGAAAAACCGCAATGGCCTGCTTAAGCCGGCAAAGGGTTTGCTCGTCCTTGTGCTGAGAGACAGGAGCTGTCGAACACCGCGCTTTCGTTCGCCACTGTACCACGCCGAGAATATCTCCGTTTAGAATTAGAAGGCATTGTGTTCAGGGCCAAGCTCGGGGAGGTTTCTGGTTCAGGACAGAGAAGGAGCTTCAGCCAGAACCGGACATTACGACAGTTGTTTGTAGTTTGCCCATGCCTATTGATAAACTTGTTACAGGCCTCTGGAACGGTGTTCTTTGCCCCCCTGAGTTACCACTTTCTAAACCCTTTTTGTGTCAGCTTGCACTAAACTCCGAGCCTCAAATCCTGAACTTGCACTGAATCCTAGAAACTTCACAGTGTTGAATTTGTCGTGCCCTGTTCGAGTCTGGCAGCAGCAGGGAAGTGGCCCCAAGCGCTGAACCGTTTAAACCCAAGACCGCAAGCTCCAACCCCTAAGCCCTAAACCCTAATCTCGCTTCAGATCCTGCCAGGCTTGTCCGACTGAGTGTTTAGTTTGTGTATATTAGGATCTTCACAAGGCTTCCGGGAGCTTCGATGACAAACTCAAGGTCAGCGTCGTCAATGAAACCCTGATGGATGTGGTGCACTCAGCTTGGGTCTGTTGTTCCCAGAGAGCCCAAAACCCTTTAATTGAGGAATATACCTTAAATTATAGTAGGAACCCTAGTAAGATTTAAGGTATGTGCCTTCATTAAGGGGTTTTGGCGTCTCTGGGTTTTCGGTTTCGCATGCCTAGATCAGGCTATGGAAATATGTGCCCATGAGAGCAGCTTTCACGGGTGTAGGTTCAGGGGACTCCAGACCGCAAACGCTAGCACTTTTAGCTTTTAAGTCCAGTCCTTGACCTTTGAACCGAGATCCCTGAACCCCTCCAATCTCAACTCCAATCCCTCAGCTAACGCACGCAGAGCCCCGAACACAAAACTCCCAGGCGATAGCAGGGGAGGCTGTGTCCCACATCCTCGCTGGAGTCCGGTGGCCTAGGTGTTGCGCGTCGGGGTTAAGGGTGCAGGGTTTACTGGTTTACTGTGGGGGTTGGCATCTGAGCGTTTGGGCTTGGAGGTCGCTCAGGGGTTTCTCCTTCTCACTATGTCTCATTGTTTGACGCCTCGTTCTCAAGTTGGGCTGTCGGATCCTTACAATTCAGAAGGCGAGCTTCTTCTCTGGAACGGAGTTGCAAGCAAAGCCGGATGAAGCAGATTAACAACTTCAGCGGCACTATCAGCCAAAGTAGACGGACCTGAACGCTCAGGACGCAGACAACCAGGCTCTCTCCAACACGGCCTGGGCGCTGGGGCCCTTGATCGTGCGGAGAGCATTGGGGATTGCAGCAGCGTGCCACAGTATTGCGCGAAGCACTTGTAGTTTGCTGGAAGCATTCATGTCACAGACGAACTCTTTGGACCCAAGACATCCTGCACAAGACAAACAGTCGTTCGAACCAGCACACAAGCCGCCCTGCTCAAATGCGCCTTGTCACTGCGACTACGACTACAGGTTTGCGAAATGCGAGATCTACCATGCCGCGGGCTGAGCTGCATCTCACAGATGAGGGCTCCAACTCCAATCGTTGACTCACGAAGCATGTAGAACGGGCCTGTCGTTTTTGACCCTCTCACTCTTTGTCGAACACCAGTCTTTTTCTTGACACCCCTCCTCTCCCGTTTCACCGCCTCCCCCTGTCTCTCTCGCCCTCCCCTCCCCTTGCTCGACTGCCCGTGCCCCGGACGCTTTGCTGCGACCCCTCGTCTCCTCCCTGCCCCCTCCTGTTTAGGGTTTAGGGTTTAGGGGGTTTAGGGTTTAGGGTTTAGGGTTTTGGCTGCTTCTTCTTGACCGCCTAGGGCAAGCTAGAGCGAGGGGTTCAAAACGCAGAGGGAGGGGATTCAAGAAAAGATGCGTTCATACAGAACTAACTACCAGCGCAGCACTTCACGCCGAAGACCCAAAAGGAAAAGCTTTCCCAGCCCTTAAAAACACATGTAAGCTTTGGTGCCATACTGCTGGGCTAGAGATCTGCATCCTTGGTCGTCGTAGAGTTCTTCCACAGGGCTTTCGCGGTATTCTGGTGATGTCAGGCAAGCGTATTCCCAGCGGCAGGACTTCGTTGGGCAAAACGGATGAGTTTGCATGACCGGTTGGCCTGGGCTTAGGCTTCTGACTATGCCATTATCCTTCCCGGACCCACAAACCCCATCCGAGCAAGGCGAGCTTATTTTGGAGGGTGTTGTTTGCTGGGCATATACAATCCGACTGCAACCGTAAGGGCACAACACATCACAATACGCTCTTTGACCAGGCCCTGCTTCTCGGCCCCACAAAAAGAGTCAAACCGCCACGCAGGCTATGCCCCGAGTCGCAGAACCCCCAAGCCGAAGCAACAGAGTCACAGCTCTTGACCTCGATTCCGGGTTGGGGTTGAGGTTGGATCGCTTTTAAGTCTGTTGCTTAGGATGGTTTTCGGCTGCAGCGTTTGGGATAGCCATGGCTTGGGATAAGGTTTCGGGAGGTTTGCGACGTAGGGTCCAGTTCTTCCTCAAAACTCAACTCTGTCATCGGTCAAGGCGCCTTTGCACGATGCCATCTCGGCCGTGCCCCTGGTGCAGTGACCCTCAACCCCGTTTTCGGCTTGTTCGAAATTGAGTGGCAAAATGGGACAAAATCCTTCTTTGGGATTTTTTGTTTGAATATTCCTTTCTGAGTCTTAATCGTGCTCTATTGTTGCCATTGTCCCTTCGAAGGTGTGGTTGAGTTATCATTACAGGTCTGAGGGTTGCTGTAGCTAGGTTGAACATTCTTGACTTGATGTTTGTGGTTCTCGCTGCGATATGGTAATACTCTTGTCGCCATATAGCTCCCTGCTGTAACCGGGCTTGTTGCCATAGCCATAGCTACTGCTTTTTTGCATCTTGCTAGACGTGCAGTTCGCATCTTTAAATACGACTGTGACCGCTGCCGTTGTTGGAGTCTTTCATGTGATACACTCTTGCCAATAGCCTGCACTCGATGGATGTTGGATTATTCTCATCATGCTTAAGTCGTGCTCGAAATTTGGGGTTTCAGAGCTTGGGTGGGGGCTTGAAGGTTTAGGTTTCATACACTTCAGTCATTCCCATGAGGCGGCCGCGGTGGGAAAGATCACGGAGTTTGTACCCCAGGGCCGGGGAGCTCGGGTTTCGCTGGGTCTGATCAGGTGACAAGCCGGAGAAGAGCGTGGTGGCTTTAATTAGATACGCTTTTAGCACAGAAGGTTGGTAAGGCGATGTTCTGCAGCTTACGACAGTGGCTCAGAGGGGCGGTTGCAAGGCTTCGGGTTTGTAGATTTGAGCATCTTCACAAGTGGGATTCAAGATGTCAGGGTGTTCCCACGTACTGTAGCTCTCGGCAGGCTTCGAGCTGAGAATCCGGGAAAGATTGAACCTAACGCGAACGTCGACTCCCGGGCTGTTCAGACCTCCCAATCCACTGATGGAGCCTTCTGTACACCCTCGACACTGAATCCTAAACAGGCCATGACTGCCTCGTGCGAGTGTGTGAGTCAAAATCCTGAACGGCCTCGGCCCCATGTTTTGCGTTGCAGCCGGAACGGCTCCGGTCACTACGAAGGCCACAGGCTAGAACATCAGGCCCAGCCTTCTGAATAGGTACAGTTTCTCGGAAACCCGAACTGCTTCGTGAACGGATATTGCTTTTCCAGCCCAGAGCAGATGCGAGAAATTTCTCATTACCATGAGCACCACATGACTGACCTTCCTTCCCACCATCACCACCATCACAACCATCGCCAGCGTCGCCATGATCGTGCTCAGCACCATCACAACAATCTTCACCATCATCGCAATCATCACCATCACCGCCCAAAGCCCCAAAGACTCAACCCTTCAACCCTGGCTCAAACGATATTCAGATATGCAAATCTTCGTGCTGCAAGGCAGCCTGTGTTCATCATCATCATCATCATCACCATCATCATCATCATTACCATCATCACCATCGTCATCATCATCGTCATCAACATCATCATCATCATCGTCATCATCATCGTCATCAAGTGGTTGTCAGCATCTGGGATTTTGATTGCATTGCTTCATGGTTGTTTCTTGGAGTTTGTCGTCTCCAGGATCCTTGGGCCCGGCACGCAGTCGAGAGCGCTCTGCATGCTTCTATCTGTATGCTTGGCTACCAGTAAAAAATGATATCTGCGCATTTCCGGTAATGCTGCGCATTAGCATTGTCACTGTTTGTTGTTGTTGTTGTTGCTGCTGCTGCTGCTATTGCTGCTGCTTGCGCTTCTGCTGTTGTGGTCGTCGTCGTCGTTGTTGTTTTTGTTGTTCTCGCTGCTGCTGCTGCTGCTGCTTCGGTTCCCGTTGGTATTCAGCACAAATCCGATGCGCAGGGCTGGCTGGAGGATGAGTCCATGCAGCTTCTTGGCTGATCCCATGCTTTGTTTCTTGAAGCTAAGTTTTGAGGTTTACAAGAAGACGTCGAGGCCTAGGCACTTCTTCGCAAGGGCTTTTTACATGGCGAGGGATCACCAATATTGTTCCTTAGGGTTCCTGATTATAACCCTAAACCCTAAACCCTAAACCCTGAACCCTAAACCCTAAACCCTAAACCCTAAACCCTACCCTAGTGTACCCCCAAAGCCCTGTTCGAAGCATTCAGACCCTTTATATTCGGGCCATTTAGGCGGACCATGCGGGTGTTCAGGGTTCCTTTCAAGGGATCCTTGAAAGGGTTCCTGTAGGGTTTAGGGTTTAGGGTTTAGGGGGATCCTTTAAGGGATAATCTCAAGGATTCTTGTAGGATTCCTTGCCGGGTTCCTTAACAGGTTCCTTCATGGGTTCCCTAAAGAATTCTCTAGATGGGTTCAAAAAGGGTTCCTGAAGGGGTTTAAAGGGGAAGGCTTTCACGGTTTAGGTTAGGGTTTAATTCGTAGTAGAAGATGTAATGTAGAACCCTAAACCCTAAACCCTAAACCCAGGGCAATAAGCGGATACGACTTCTAATTATTCAGACGTCTTTGTTGTTGCCAGTACGGTCTCAGCTTAAACTAGGAGGTTTAGGGTTTAGGGTTTAGGGTAAACAGCCAAGCATGACTGCCAGAAGTAACATAACGAACATAAACAGCTGCTTTACTTGGAGGGTCATGGGCCTTGGTAAGTAATAAGTACCTTAGTTGGAGGTATGTGCAATTTCATGTATAGGTACTTGATTTAAAAGCCTAGTTACGAAGTCCCATGATCCTCCAAAACCCTAAACCCTAAACCCTAAACCCTAAACCCTAAACCCTAAAATGAAGCTCCTGCAAAGCAACGCCGCGGTCTACAGAATGCGGATCGAGGAGTCCGATACGCCACACCTTTTTCGGCCGTACCGCAGGCACCTCCGCCGCTCCCGCCTGAAAGGTTTGGGCTTGCTTGGAGGTTCATGGGTAGTTATAAGTAGGGTTATAGGTAGGCTAACTATAGTTATAACCGGTTCTAGCGGACTTATAACTCCACTTCTTACTACCCATGGGCCTCCAAGTATGCTCCCTTATAGGACCCCTTATAGAACCCCCTTCTAGATCCCTTTAAAGGAGCCTTATAACTACCCATGAACCTCCAAGTGCCCTAAACCCTAAACCCTAAACCCTCAACCTTATAGGACCCCTATAGAACCCTTATAGAACCCCCTTATAGATCCCTTTAAAGGAGCCTTATAACTACCCATGAACCTCCAAGTAGAACGTAAAGCCACATGCCACAAAGTCAAATCCTCACACCCTGACATTATCATCCTTCTGAGCCCCTACAGTACCCTAAACCTAGACTCCTAAACCCTAAACCCTAAATACCCTGAACCCTAGACTCCTAAACCCTAAAGACCTTAAACCCTAAACCCTATATGCCCTAAACCCTAAATATCCTAAACCCTAAACCCTAAATACCCTAAATACCCCAAATACCCTAAACCCCTAAACGCCTAAACCCTAAACCCCTAAACCCCTAAACCCTAACCCCTCAACCCCTCAACCCCTCAACCCTAAACCCTAACCCCTCACACCTGAACCCTAAACCCCTAAACCCTATACCCTTAAACCCTAAGGCCTAAACCCTATAGACCCTAAACCCCTAAACCCTAAACCCCAAACCCCCGAACCCCACACCGGTCTCTGGCAGAACTCTGAGACCAAGCCCCCAGGCCCAGCATGGTCCGAATTAGTTAAAGGAAACTACAGGTGGGGAGTTTCGGGTATATAGGGCTTCTTCAAGGCTTCTATAAGGTTTATAGACCTTCTAAAAGGCTCCTATAACGGTAACTACCCACTTGAAAATGTTGTAGAATTAGGTCCTTGCTCTTTTGGGGCCTTTAGGGTTTAGGGCTTAGGAGTCGCTTTTTAGGGTTTAGGGTTTAGGATTCTCTTTCGGGGCCTGAGGTGTAGAGCTTAGGATTCGCTTGTTAGGGGTTTGGGTTTAGGATTCTCTTTTGGGGCCTAGGGTGTAGAGCTTAGGATGCCTTGTTTAGGGTTTAGGATTCTCTTTCGGGGCCTAGGGTGTAGGGCTTAGGATTCGCTGTTTAGGGTTTAGGGTTTAGGCTTCTATTTTGGGGCCTATACGCCTGAGAAGAAGAAGAAGAACGAGTGGAGTGACCAACAGTGGGACTATGCATCGCCGACTGGCGCGCTCTACGTTGAAGGTCTACCGGATGAGTTTAAACCGGATAAAAAGCACCTAGACTCAAAAGAAGTATACGGCAAGTCGATGTTGAGACGCGTAGCGGCTACAAGTTGAGCGTCAAAATACCGATTAGCAGGCCGTGATGTCGCAGATCTGAATTGACAGACTTGTTGTGGCGCGGATGGCGAAACCACCATCTCCGTGCGCTCAGTCATGGACAGTACGTTTCGCTAGTATAGGGTTTTGGGCTTAGGATTCGCCTTTCGGTAATTCCTTGCTGGGCTTATCTTCTAGGACCCTAAATTTAAAGTTGGTTAAACCCAAAAAGGACCTGCAATGGAGACTCCAGGTAGGGTTTCGGGCTTAAGGTTCCCTTCTAGGGTTTAGAGCTAGGGATGCAAGGGAGGGAGTTATGGTAGTTCCTATACGGGTTATCGTCTGCACGAGTTGTCTAGTTGGGCAAGCGATAGCGGTGGCACCCGGGACAGTGGAGAGATTGCAAGCCTTCATACGAGGGAGCATCCCTAAACCCTAAACCCCAAACTCCCAAACCCCTAAACCCCTAGACCCTAAACCCCTAAACCCCACAAAACCCTAAACCCCTAAATACCCTAAACCCCTAAATATCCTAAACCCCCAAACACCCTAAGCCCCTAAATACCCTAAACCCCTAAACCCCTAAACCCCTAAATACCCTACACCCCTAAATACCCTAAATCCCTAAATACCCTGATCGCCTAAAGCCCTAAATACGCTAAACCCTTAAAACCCCTAAATACCCTAAGCCCCTAAACCCTCTGGCCACTCTTCAGCAGTGGAGCTCGGATGACCGCGGAGTCGTGAGACTTCGGAAGCTGAAGCCCAAGAGCTCTAAACCCAAAGCCCTGCCGATTTTAAGAACCCGTTCACGGTTTAGGGTTCAGGGTTTAGGGTTTAGGGTTTAGGGTTTAGGGTTTAGGGTTTAGGGTTTAGGGTTGGGCACTTGGGAGTTTCCGAAAACAAGGGGTATCTTATTTTGGGGTCCTTATAATAAGGATCCTACTATTTAGGGTACTATATTGGGGTCCCCTACTTTCGGAAACCCCCATATTGAGGCCTACATAGTTACCAGTATTATTCCGAAGAGCTCTAAAGCCAAAGTCTTAGGGTTTAGGGTTTAGGTGTCATATAGAATTCGAATTAATCCGAAGCCTAAATAGTTGCCAATATTATTTCTTAACGGTTTACGATTTACGGTTTAAGGCTCCTGGCTATCGCTATACTATAAGGAAGCCCAGAATCGTATTCTTATTATGAAGGCTCCTACGTTACGCTATGCTCTGTCCCCAGTCCTTAGGCACATAGTCTTCGACATAAGCAAGATGTCTACGGCATTCTACGGTAGTCTACAATATTCTGCAGGTATCAGAAAGTTATATATATATATATACAGAATCTATATATATATATATATATACATATGTATATATGCAGAGAGAGCGAGCGAGAGACAGAGAGAGAGAGAGAGGGAGAGAGAGAGAGAGAAAGAGTGAGAGTAACACGGCCACAATTACGAGACCCTACATCAAGGGCGATGCGCAGGCGTTGTGCGTAAACTAACCCAAATCCCGACACGGCAGCCCGTGAGCCTAAAGCCCCAGACCCAAAGCCGCGACAGTCCTTGCCATATTCCGTAGAAATGTCAAAGGCCCTCATGCTCTCTACAACGCCCGTAAAGGCCCCTTTAAAGGAGACCCTACAGAACCTCGTAGATGCCTTAAGGCTCATTTAAAGGGCCCTTGGCAGTCCTTAACACTGGGGAGGCAGCAAGACGGTCGGCGAGCTGCTGACCATGGCAGGCCAAGACCAGACGGATCAACAGAGTGGAGTTGGGGGGGTCGGTTTAGGGTTTAGGGTTTTCCGTTGCCACAAAGAACCTAGACCTAAACATACCTCAATCCCGGGCTTAGGGTTTAAGGTTTAAGATGTTCCTTAGCCCCAAAGAGCCTATTCAAGGTAAGAGAGTCATGATAAGGAGCCCGCAGAAGTTTCTGATGCATGGGATAACTTTTAACCTGGAAACCCAGTCCTTTGTGAAATTCACCTGAGCCCTCCAAACTGCGTGCATATGCCCAAAGGGTGCTAAGTACCTATACAGTAGAAAGTAGGATTCTTGTAGAGTAAGAGTTACTATGATGTTTGGGAAAATATCCGCCATATAGATACCGCAGGTGCTTTGGGCCCGAGGTCAAGAGCTTCGCTATTCGCGCGCTGTCATCTAGCTTGTAGCTCGTAAAGGAGCTGGTGCAGCCTCTGCACTGTGGTCTGTCCATTAGACGTGCAGCGGCATTGTTGTCCATTTCTTTGTGAGCAATTTCGGCAAGCCCTTCAACAAAGCCATGTCTACATCCCTACTAAAACCTTTACAGGAATCCTTCAAGGAGCCCTTAACGAAATCCTTAAAGCAGCTTAAAGCAGCCCCCATAGGCCGTTCGCAGGTGTTGAAACGTCTCCTTGGCAGCCCTTCGCATCGAGCCCTGGTGCCCGCGATGCTACGGGAGCCAGGGCACCGCAGCTGCAGGGTTCTGATTTGGGGATCTTAGGCTTTTAGATTGGGTTTAGGGTTTACATGTAACTCTCATTACCTACAGTTTAGCCGCCATTACCTCTTAATTAGTAGGTAGAACCCAGAAAACTGCAGGTAATTGGAATCCCAGGTAGCGATTTAAGGGTTTAGGGTTTGGCATTCGGGGTTTAGCGTTTAGGGTTGGCGGCTTTAAGGGTTTAGGGTTTCGGGAAACCCTAAACCCGAGGGGGAGTCTTGAGGACTGCAAGGTTGTATTTGGGATACTTAGGGCTTTTCCCAGGTGTTTGTCCAAGTGTTTGAGGGTATAGGTTTTAGGGTTTGGGCTTATCGGAGAACCCGGTTCAGCGGTTTGGCTTCGACAAAGGGCTTCTTCCTGGTGTTCAAGGACTCAAGGTGCAGGAATGTAACTGGGTCTCCCAGTGGGCCCTTTTTCATTTCTGGAAGTCTTAGGTTCTTTATTGTTCTATAAAGGTACTCAATACCAGAATGGGAGCCCTTTTCAAACCCAGGTTACCGGGAATCCTAGGTAAGGTTTGGCTCTACTCAAGCGCTTTGCGGTTGTAATATGCTTCTCTATTATCGGTTGAGGTTCTAAGGCGAAAGAGCACTGAGCAACTCGGTATCATCTTGGGGGAGGATATGCCCCCATGCTAGCCGGGGCTTTGGGGCTTGGGGCATAAGGCCCTTTCGGGGCTTTGATATAGCACTGTATGGATTCAGGGCACATGGCCATGCCGTCTGAGAGTTTCGTTTTGCCGGCATTTTGGATTTAGTGGTGAGGTCTTCGGGCTCTAGGGTTGAGGATTGAAGGGTTTAGGGTTTGGGGTCTAGGGTGCTTGTTCATGACTATACACTGTCAGCAGAATGCCAGCAAGCCGACACAAATCGTAAACAAGTTTTTGAACTCCGCTCAAAACCAATCAGCCCTTAATCAAGCCTGGCAGCCTGTGTGACAAGATGCGTATAGAGTTCTTGTGATGTCCCCTGGTAAAGCCCTTAACTCTTGAAGCCTAAACCCTACACCCTTAGCCCTAAACCCTAAATCCTAAACCCTTAACCCTAAACCCTAAACACTTAGCCCTAAACCCTAAATCCTAAACCCTTAACCCTAAGCCGTAAACCCTAAATCCTAAACCCTAAACTCTCCGCTGCTTCGAGGTTGGCCACGAGGTGCCTCTGCACACGCTGACGCAGCTCTCGGAGAAAAACCAGAGTCTGGACCCGAAAGGGTTTAGGAGTTTAGGGTTTACAGGGTCTAGGGTTTAGGAGTTTAGGGTTTAGGAGTTTAGGGTTTAGGAGTTTAGGGTTGAGGGTTTTAGGAGTTTAGGGTTTAGGGTTTAGGGCGTCTAGGGCGTTTAGGGATTTAGGGTTCTTATGAGGGGCTTGTAAAGGCTTTTGTTCGGGTCTTTAGATGTTTTGATTTGATTTTAAAAGTCGTGCGGGATAGTTTATGGGACTTGATTCGGGGCTGCATATAGTCTTACAGAGCTTGATAGGGTGTTAGTTGCAGGTCTTCGTATCCGACTAGTCGTGCACCGAAAGTGAGTGATTCCGGCACCAACTCCCAGCCAGTTTGCGCACCGAAAAGTCGGCCAGTGTTGAGCATAATAGGAGTTCTTCAAACTATAACAGTGTCAAAAGCAATGGTAGTAGTTCTTTCTTCGTCATTATGATTGTACAAAAAATCCGGTCGTGCCGAAAGCCACAACTTCGGTAAACTTCGAGTTTGAAAAAGTCTCAGACTCCACGCCCCTAAGTGTAGCCCTGAGGGTCCACGTACCTAAGAAGCATATATTCTCCCAAATGTTTTCCTACATAACTACGATCTTAAACCCAAGTACCTTATCACTGAGTCCTATGGACCCTTTGGGTAGGGTTTAAATTTGTTAAATTCAAGGGGTTTTAAGGTTTGGGGCCTCAAGGTTTAGGATGGTTTAGGGAGCTTGAGAAGATAGATCTTCTCTGGGTTAAAGACTCTCGAGCATGGTGGTGATGTCCTGTTCAAGATTCTACCAAGAGCCAAGAATCTACGGCAAACCCTATTCGAAGCATAATGGCCCCTACATTCCGAAGCTTGAATGAAATCGACCCTGCACCCTAAACTCTGAAATCCTAAACCCTAAGCCTGTCCAGACAGTGCAGGAGCTTCATGTTTTCCGTGAAAGTGCATTTCGATGACACAAAGGACGGCTGACATCTTGAAACCCGGTGATGTACTTCAGGTTGCGCAGAGTGTCCATATCCACTACCACTATGGAATAAGCCCCAAAAGACCATAGTTATAATGGTTTTGACTTGAGGGACCTAATTCCATAGTAGTAGTATGAATACCCTAAACCCTCAACTCTAAACCCTCTTGGTTGGAATATATCCCCAAACCCGACGGGGCAGCAGGGGGTCAAAGTTTCAGGATTGTGCAAAGCCTCCATAAAGCCCCCAACAATGGGTTTTGGGGGTATAGTATACTATAACTCTTTTAAGGAACCCCCAAAACCCCATTCTAATCTAATCATTAAGGCCCCTGCATTTCAAACTGCAAACCCCCGAACCTAAATCCGATGTAAAGCCTACACACCTAAACCGCAAAGCATGCTATCTCCCGAACTCCAAACCTAAACCAAAGCCGAAACCCTAAACCCAAAAGCTAGACAGCTGAACCCTAAACCCTAAACCCTAAACCCTAAACCCTAAACCCTAAACCCTAAACCCTAAACCCTAAACCGTCGTGAGGAGTCTCCACCAGATTGGCCGTGCCGATGTTTTTGCTTAGAAGCGTGCCTGGCGACAGCGCGCAGCTGTCTTAGAAAGACTCGAAACCCTGCTTGTTGGGGGTTGAGGGTCTACAAACCCTAAGGCCGAACCCTCATAGCCTTAACCTATGAGCCCTTAGAGCCTTTGAGTTGCACTTGAATTTCCCATTGTCCCAAACCCTAAAAGTAATTCCTACTTTAGAAAGCTTCTTTTCTTCTATATAGGTACTCAGTACCCTTTGGGACTGTCTAAGATGTCAGCTGCGCCAGGCTTCGCACGCTTGCAAACATACCTCTTGCCAGGATTGGCCGGCTTTGTGCAGGGTTTTATATAGGGGGCCTAGATAATTACTAACACTATTTAAATTTTGCGGTTCCTGATTATAAATCACTGTGTCCGGGAGTCCCATACTTGAATACTTTTTTTGGGGGGTGCCTGTTCCTTATCGGACCCTAAACCCTAAACCCTGAACGAAGTTACGGTGAAGTTGGCCCATGAGGTTGGTACGGACGACCTACTGACCACGTCCCTGGGTTTGAGACTTCAACCTAATATAGGGGGCCTCAATAGTTAGAATGGGGTTTGGGGTATATTTTGTACTATAATTATAATAAGGACCCCCCCCAAACCTTATTCTAATTATAAAGACCCCTACATTACCTTGGTTTGTAAGGTTTGGGTTTTGGGTTTCGGGTGGTTAAGTTGTTTTGTGGCCCCTAGACCTTAAACCGCAAACACTAAACCCCAAAGCCTGAGCCCTAAACCACAAACCAGAACTATCTTAAACCCAAGTACCTGATTGGGTCGTTTGAACCCTTAACCCTAAACCCTAAACCCTAAACCCTAAACCCTAAACCCTAAACCCTAAACCCTAAACCCTAAACCCTAAACCCTAAACCGAAACCCTCATAGTACCCTTCGGACCCTTAGGGTACTATATAATTAAGGCCGCTGGCCCGTACCATCAGTAGTGTACCCCAAAACCTTATTCTAGTTAGTAAGGCCTCCATAGTACCTCATAAATGCCATTCAGGGCATGGTACTCTTGATGATATAAACCCTTCATTACCTTAACGACCCTAAACTTATGGTATATGGCTTATATTATCGGTAATTCAGGATGTATATCATCCACCGTACGTCGGACCTGAAACCTTGCCATCCGGAGGTCATGTTCCAACATCCATAGAAACTCATAAGCTTTGCTTTGCGCTGTAGGGTTCAATATAGGGGCCCGAATAATAGAGGGTTTAGGTTTTAAGGTTTAGGGTTTAGGGTTTAGAGCTGAGGGTTAAGATGTGAGGGTTTAGGTTTTTCAGTGTTGAGGGAGGGGTTGTAACCTTTAACCTTTTTTGGGTACTGCAGTCCCTCTGTAATCCCAAAGTTTCACCCTTAGTTCCCGAGGATGCGGGGCAAGTAGGTTCGGGTTGCAGCGTATCGCGGTCCTACTGTTTAGAGGGTGCCAACAGCTACGGGGCCCCAACAGCAGCCCAGTAAACCATCCTAGACCCCTTGACTTTAAGGTTTAGGATGTACCGCGCCCTAAAACCTAAACTTTAGGGTTTATGATGTACTAATACCCCTAAAAAGAAAAGGCTTACTGAGCCCTAAACCCCTTTAGTATGGTCAAATTGAGTTTAATGAGCCTGAGGCCCCTACAGCTGTAAAACCCTGAACAGTTGAGGATTTTTCATCCTCGTTGGCCGGTCCGGGCAACAAAAAAAACTATTTTCCCCTATGGGTCCACGTTCCTATATATGCTAAGTCGTTCTTCTACTAGTTGCCGGGGGTTTCGTTGGGGCTTCCTCGAAAACCTAAACCCTAAACCCTAAACCCTAAACTTGGTTTTATTATGACGGGGAGTACTAGGAAAGAAGAGCTCCATATCTTCTAGTCGATAGGATGACCCTGAAACCATCGTATTGGATCTACTTTTAAGGCCGAAGTATGATAAAGTGTACATCAGGGTAGTTCTCTAAATTACTAAATTAGGGTCCTTTTTAGGATCCTTTTTGTAAGGGTGCCGTACTATATTGGGGACCTAAAAAGGGACTCTAATTTAGAGAACTACCTATAAAGTAAGACCATAGGTGCGTGGACCCTTAGGGTTCATACTAGCGGCGGGAAAGCGCGCCTCTTTACCTCCCGGCAGCTCACGGAAACCGTCGGGCTCCAGCTGCTGCAATGTTGATATGGGTGGTTGTCAAACTTATGGTCCTTTTTTGGGTCCTTATCATAATACGCCACCTATTATTTAGGGTACCCCAAAAGGGACCATAATTTTGACAACTACCCATATTGAGTTTCAGGGTGTAGGGTTTGGGGGGAAGGGCTGAGTGTTTTAACGATATAGGCAGCTTCGGTTTTGAGTGATTCAGGGGGTCTAGGGCTTAGGGTTAAGATTTGTAGGGTTTTGGGTTGTGAGGGTGTAGCTTATGGATATAAGCCTTAGGGTCATAGCCCCTGAAACCCTCAAACCCTAAACCCTTAGCCCTGAACCCTAAGCCCTAAACCCTAAGGCTTGGGTGGTTCGGGTCTCAGCAGGCATTGTCCGGGTTTGGCGGGGATAGGCAAGATGAGGTCGGACGGAGCCTCATCACATTTGAGGTTTACGGTTAAGGGGTTTAGGGTTTAGGTTTTAGGGGTTATCGCGTAGTTCCTCCTATCTTCCTATCCCCGGTTGCCAACGTGTGGTTCTGCTTCTGTGGAGGATGAGAGGGGAGATGAAGATCTTGAGATCGTTACACTGTTCCACATACATACATACATACCTATCCGCGCGTGTACCTGTATGTATCTGCACGTAACGAGAACGCACTACCGGCTTGATTTTTGGAACTTTACAGAATCACATAAAAGAATGCACAAGATAGTTTTGCAATGTACTGGAAGCAATCCCTTCTGTCCTAAACCCTAAACCCTAAACCCTAAACCCTGATCAAGAGACTATACATGCTCAGGAATTGTGATACAGACTTCGAGGCTCAATGTATTGAGCCAGGCCAATGCTCTGTGTGTATATATAGGTACACATACACTTATGGGCATGGGGTTTAGGGTTTAGGGTTTAGGGTGTGTATATATATATATATGCATACATAAACATACATGTATATATATATATATCTATATATATATATATACATACACCGGACAATATGTATAGACATATATTCAGGCCATGTGCAAAAGATCAGTAGGCTCCAACAACTACCTCACAGGAGACCGACAGGGACACGAGATCGCCAAAAAGGTGGCGCTGCAAGTGGGGACCGTTTTGCGGGCTCTTCACACGGAATGCCGGAAAAGAGCCCCATGCAGCCGCCTCCAGCCAGGAATCGAAAAGCCACTGCTTTTGTCTGGGATATCCATGGTGATGGCTGATTTGGCTAACTTCAGGACAAGCTTGCTTGCGGGATATACCCATAAAATCCTAAACACTAACCCTAAGGGTCCAAGTACCCATTATTTAAGGACTTTGGAGCTTTTTTGGGTAATTACCGAAAACCATAAATATGTACTACTTGGACCCTTAGGGTAAACCCTAAACCCTAAACCCAACCAGCCAGCCTAAGCCGTTCGTGGTTTTTGTGTTCTGCGCTGTCTTGGGCCCAGAGCATCTTCCTTTTGCAGGTGTCTAAACGAAGCCATGTAATACAGGGGCCTGAAGAATTAGACTAGGGTTTTGGGGCC